CTCGACAGGGAAGGAACTTTGCACATACCTCTGAACAAGTTGGAATTGGGTCCAAACAACTTTGTCTTTTCTCCTGCAAGCTTGTTTTCCCACAGTAACAAGACTTGATCTTGCTTGGCATTAACTCACAGTCCCCACAAGGACCAGGATGACAAATCTCAGCACAGTTATGATTGCCACATCTAAGCTTATTTCCACAAGTTGAACTACATGAAAACACACCATCTTCGGTTTTCACTTCTCCCTTCACAGCCATGTCTCCACATATGACAGCTTCAACTTTTTTCCTGCAGAAGCAGGGGGCATTAATCGGAACCTGGCATGGATCACAAGGCCCCACATGGCATATCAGCTCACACCGATGACGCCCACACTCAAGAAGCTTATCACAGCACTGTCCACAAGTAAGAACCGACTGTCTATCAGAGCATCTGGTTGTAATAACTTTCTTCCCACAAGGACACAACCGCGGTGGAGAAAACGCCTTACAAGGAGGGCATGGACCAGGGTGACACTGCAATACACAAACATGAGGACAAAGTTCATCCTTCATCACCCCAGCACCAAGTCCCAGCACCTTCTCAAGCGGCTTCCCACAAGGCTCCCCACAAGAATGAGGTGTCAAGTACAAATCAGAAGGCGGGTCTGTCCTCTTCCCACAGAAGCAAACATATCGAATCTCCTTAGATGATGTCAACTGCACAAATTGGCAACCCGGACAACGCCAATTAATTCCCTGATTCTTCTCCACCACTAAATCAACAGAAGTCGGTGCCCTAGCCCACTTCTTAATACAATTAAGGTGAAAAATGGAGTAGCAACTTGAGCACGACCATATGGGGGCAGACCTCCGTACAGTATCATAACAAATCATACACTCAACCGTACTCTTGATAAGCTTATCTTGAATTTCTTGCACAAGCTGTGGCAAATTTGGATCAATCTCCTTTACCACCACATGATTCTCACTCCTTTCCTTTTCCTTATCTCTCCTATGATTTGTGGACCGACCAATTTGTCTATACCTATTATCATTTCGAGTTGAGGTGTGGTTAAAAATTGGAGTTGAATTAGAAGTGCCAGGTGAACTGCTTACTACAGTGGTGGTTGTAGATGAAGATCCTCTAGGAACCCATTCTTGACGAGTGCTTTGGGAAGGGTTTCTTGGTCTATTTCGGCCTTGAAAGCTCATGGTTTCAGATTTTGACATCAACAAACGTTGTAAATCCAATTGAATTGTTTTTGATAAATGAGAAGATCCAAACACTAGCTTTTGCTTTGATTCCTCGTCCTAAAACTGCAACACCACCAATCAAATAACATTTATCAGATATCATAGTAATACCTTTGTTCCCAATAACAGACAGACAAACAAGAATGAAGACTACAAATTGATTTTCAATTAACAGAGATGCATTGCTGACTTAATTAAAAAATCCAAAAACAGAGTGCCCAAATCCATGAATTATGAAAAGAAAGCGGTAGGGAAGAGTAGGGTGTGCAAATGATTGATTCTATGTTAAAATTCCAAAAACCAAAAAGAAAGCAGTAAGGAGAGGTACCAGATAGCTTAAAGCAGTATCAAACTGCCTTTCAGCCAATGCCCATATGCAAAATTTACTGCATAAAGTAAAAAACAGAATTAGCTGAAGTTTTATTGACTTCTTCACAAGAAAAATAAATAAATAAAAAACAGAGTTTTTCAGTGAAAAAACAACACAATCATCCACTTAAGACAAATGTAATTCTATTTGATTAAGAAAGAAGTAGGACAAAAAGACACAAATCACATAAGAAGCACTGCCAGTCCTATCTAAGAAATTATCTCGCAGAAAAGAGATGAAATAAGTATACAACCAACATTCAAATCATCATCTTTTCCTTATGTTTTCTCACCTATCTTGTTTTGTTTCTTTCTTCTCTCTCACCTACTTTCTTTTCAAATATTTGTCATTGTCAGTCCCTATGGAGAAGAATATTCCAAATAACAACCAGAGTTCTACAGAACAAACTCAGTCTTTTCAATCCACGTTACTAAGTACAATAAAACTACTATAAGTCATGGGCACCCAGCTCAGAAAGTGGAATTCACTCTTAGGTACATTTTTTCACAAACAAAGAACAAGTTCATAATCTCAGCAGATAACTAGTAAATCTAGTAACTTGTGTAAACCTATCACTTCTTTTCTAACATAAAAGTTCTTTCAATTTGCATTGTCACTGTCTACCTTTAAAAAGCTAGAGGATTATAACAGCAATTTGCATAAGTGACTCTCCTGGAACAAATTCAACAGCTTTAGTAGCACACCACATGCAAAATTTGATAAATTCTAGAACTTTAGTCATAAATCTACAATGAATAGCGGCACATGCATGTATATGAACTTTTGATATCTTGACGTTGATTACATGTCCAGGCAGAAAAAACCCCAGCTTATGGTTTTGAATTAGCCCATCCTTGTTATACATGTAGCACGGTTCCTTCCAAATATCACCTAGTTTACCAAACTACCTAGGAGGTTAAGTAAAACCGAAGGGTGAAAAGTAACTGCATTCACAGGAATAACTGAGAGAGGATACAGAAAGTTTAACTTTCAATATCCAACATTTCAACAACAACTAGACTTGGAAGAAGTAGCTAAAATTGAATCAACATGCATGTAGCAGAAGGGTCAAAAAACATAAAATCAATCACAAGGATCTTCTTTCAATACGAAGAATGTCAGCTTGCAAATCCAAAAAGAAAACAGTAGATTTATACTTGGCAATAAAACAGAGGAACAGAAAGAGAGTAAAGAATAAAACATGAAGCACTAGATTTATACTTGTTTTTGATCCATTACTTATGTTCTTAACTATGAATTTATACTTCTTTTTTTTTAAATTCAAGTTGAGGTTTGACAAAGGTTAGAAATAAAATTGGTTTAGATTAGATCCATGGCAGCACAATTTTGAAAGCTTTGAAATTAGGCACATAAGTAAATAAGAAAAGTTTGGCTTAAAACCACCATTAATTCCATATTGAAACAAATAGAGTAAGAGCAACGATTGCCAAATTACATCATTGCTAACAAATTAAAAGGAACTGATAATCAAGATCATAGTCTTCAGATAACAATTAATGTGCAGTGGTTCCTTTTTTGTTTGTTCTCTTAATCAATCAGCTCTAGATTGATAAACTCCTAGAAATTTAGTGAGGCTTGATTCCTTGCAAGGCTTAAATTGACATTATAATCGGTTGAAGAACTATGATTCGAACATTTGTAAGAGAGAAACTCAAAAAACCGAAACCAAAGAGAGAGTGAATGACAACAAAACACAGAGAGAAAGAGACAGAGAACCTGGGTCTTTCTCACCTCAATTCGTGGCAGTCGGACGAATAAAATGAAGGATGGGCGGCCGGCCGGGGGGCGGCGATTGTGGATTTGTGGGTGAGCCGGAAAGCTGCCGGAAACGGGGAACGCAAAGGGGAATAGGGATTTAGGGTAAAGTTGTTCGTCCTGGTCGGGAGTCGGGACAGTTTGTCTCCAGAATGATATCTTTGGACGCATTGAATCCTTTTTATAACATAAAAAGACAACTCACAAATTGAAAATGACGTAAATACATAAATACCCGATCATACTAATAAATGAAAAACTTTATGCAGGTAATCCCACTCTCTCTTGTAAATTTTACTTCTTATTTTTCAAAATCCAAATTGAATTTTAGATTTCAACCTCTTTGTATATAAATATAAATACTACGTGAATCTAAAAAATCATTTAATTTAATATAAAATATTTTTATTATTTTATGTTAATGAAATTTAAAAGTTAACTAATATAAATATATTGTAACATCATATCCAGCACAGAAACAAGTTAGCAACTGAAAATTTTGAAAATTTATTTATAATTATTGCAGTCTTAAAAACAATCATAATTTGAGATTTTCACTATCCCAATATGTAAACATGTGTTCATTAAATTCTAATTCAATACATTACATTACTCCATAAAAATTTGTATAATGTTGTAAATTTAATTCTTATATAATAATTTATAAAAATTAAATCTTTACGCTTTACAAAATATATTAATGTTAATTTTTTTTTTCATTATTTATGTTTTGACTGCACTGACTTTGAAATATTCTTGCTGTTGTGATATTGAATTTGATGCCATGGCATTATCCCTCCACCACCCGATCATCCCAACCTTTTTCTTGTTTTTTTTTCCGGCCCGTCCCACAACAAACCCCGCCCATGACTCCGCACACCCGCACGGCTTAACCCTCAAGGATCTTATAGCTCAAGTCTCATCTCATCTCTCTCAAGACCTGAGAGAAGAGCAACCATGGTGCTCCACCCAAAGTTGACTGGTGGCATGACAGCTATGACAGCCCTCTCCACACTAACCCTATACTCAAATTTTGGAAATTTTGAAGAAAAAATTGGTAATCTGTGAAGTCAATACCTGTTACTTACCTTGAGTGAATTCCTTCTTTGGCTGACTGGGGCATCAATTAGTTCAATTGTTGTAAACATAGGCTTCCCTCTGTTCCGGGAAAGTTTTGTTCCATGATTTAATGCAGATTTAACCAGAAAAAAAAAAAAAACAACTGCCACGGAAACAGCTGTGACTGTGATGCCCCCATTAAGCCTGCTACTTTCCGCATCCATGCAATTTTGAGGCCACAACATGCTGCTAAGCACATGAACGCCATTCACACTGCAATTGTGGTGGGATTGTTGAAACCAGGAATCGTAACTCCTACCCACGTCATGGAAAGGGAGACTGGAGCCAATAATACAGTAACAAGAAAACCACAATAAAAAATGGCTAGAAAACGAGTATCTACAACACATCATTATAGTAGCTGCTCGCTCACACAAAACAAACAAAAATAAAACAAAGTAACCACAAACTGCAATATGGCACTCCAATTCTTTTGATTCTAAAAGAAAGATATAAATCAAAACCACAAACCCTCTTGTACAAGCCTTTCAGTGAATGCAATGCAACCAAGAACAAAGTAATTTGCTATTTCCATTTTTGTTCTCAACTTATAAATAGAAAAGTAACCATAACTATCCAAAAGGAACCAAATACAACATCTGAAAGCGAGAGAAAGATGAATTAGCACCACAACAAAATGAAGCTCAAGTATGTACGACACAACAAACAATGCTAGGCACCTATGAAATAACTTACAACCTATAATTACTCCAACACTTCCTCTCACATACAACTATACCACCTATCTTGTCTGAATGACTACAACGGTCAACCAATTTTTAGTGCAACAGGCAAGAATTTTACACTTGCACACTTGTCATAATAAATATCAGTAATAGGAAAATGAAACAGGGTCACTTGTGTCATAGCGGCGTGACCTAAGGCGACCAATGCTATCCAATGTTGCCCCAAAAACCTTTCGACTGTATTCATAATTGGTACCATTGAAATGTGATCCATACTCATTAGAGTGGTGAGATACACCAGGGAGAGGTGGCACTGGATGAAAATCAAGCTTTTTAGCAATCATAAAGTTTAATGGGCCAATCAACTAAAACTATCTGACAAAAAGCAAGAAGATAATAGTGGAAACAAAGAAGAGAAGACATCTCACCTTGGGAGTAATGCAAAGGATTATCTGGAATCCTGCAAGGGGTTGATAACCTCATTGGCTGCTGAGAGATTTCCATATGGTTAAGTACCCCAGAGTTATGCCTCGACTTGTGGGATGAATTGGATGCAGCCATGGCTGCATTCGGAGGATTCTGCAAAGCCTTGTCTTGCCCAGAAATCTGTTAAGGAATTCAGTCAGTATTACATGCCTATACAAGCCCAGAACTAAAAGATTATGGCTCTATGGTAAAGGTTTAACATTCCATTTATCCAGCTGCCAATTTGTATAACCAAATTTGACATGTAATTATACAAAATAAGGCTAACAAAGCCAAAATTCTAATCAGAATTCAGTCAATAATAGATGATAAACAACCATTCTTATAGACTCACCGCAAATTTTAAGGTTCGATTGTAGAGAGTAACAAGGCCAGAAAAAAGCCTCACAGCATACTCGGCAATCTCCTCGGTTTCGTATTCAGCAAAGGCAAAACCTTTGGGCTTATCAGTTTCCTTGTCTCGAGGAATGTACAAATCCACTACTCTCCCTGCTTGAATAAGAATATCGTACAGAACTTTGTCGCTTACCCTCTCATCCAAATTACCTTCACTCCCAAAAAGAAAACAATAATAAGAAAATTTTCATATTTTAAATAAATCCCAATTCGAACTTTGAAAAGATCCAATTCTTTTGATAAATAAATAGAATATAAAAACTGATCTTAAAAAGCCAAAGAACTGACCTATGTAGACACTGCAGCCAGAATTCCCCGCCATTGTTGTTGGAAAACCCTAATCGGAAAAGCAACGACCTGCGATGAGATATCCTTACTTTCTCTCTGAAAAGTACAAATAGAGAAATATCAGAGCCATTTTGAGTGAAAACGGAATGCAATGGTGAATTGTATTAGGAATCACAGTTCCTATATTATAATGGATTTGACCAATACCCATTATGATGACATGTTTGGTTTGGCTAGATTTCTTTATTTCAACATCCGCACAAAAAATACAAAAACTCAATTATTTATAAATATGAAAAATCATGATTATCATTGTAATACTAGAAAAGTACCTGCACTACACAGCAGGTTTGCAAAATTTTGTAAACACTTAGATGTTAAAAATTATGAGCCAATGATAAGAATTGTAAAAGCTCTTATTGATATAATCCTGCTAATTAATACTTGACATATGTACAATTTGTCAATAAATACCCAAAAACTATCATAATATGTACAAAAATTGTTCTGCATTCTCAATGAACAAGATGTTCTCCAGAGAAAAAAAGATAATAAGTCTGCTAATTAATATCCAACATATCTACAAATAACATTTATTACAAAATGTAAAAAAATTGTTCCTATAAATCAATGAGCAAGCTGTTTCGAAAAACATGATAAAAGTTCAACAAAATTACATTTACTATGGAATCATTTTTGTCAAGGAAACCTAAGCATGCTAGTCCTTGATCTAATACACCATTCACCATCAATATTACTAGTCTCTTGAACCAATAACACAGTCGCAATTAGGATAAAACCCATAAAGATTGAAAAAGCTATGTTGGTGGTGATCAAATACATCTTAACAGAAAGGACGCGTCTTTTATTTTATTCCTAATTAGATTATCTAGTAATTGTTGCTATTGAAGAGAGAAGCAATTACACAGTTAAAATAGCAAAGTAGAGACAAAGAAAACTGAAACCAAAATTTTTATGAAAAGAAAATTTGAAGACAGGAATATGGCCACAAAATGTTCTACACCAAAGTTTTGATACAATAGCTAATAGTAATGTCAAAGTCCAACCATTCACAGCATTAGCTTTACCCTAGTGTCATAGAAAGGCTTGGGTCATTCTTAGTGTGTATTGTAGAGAGGCAATAACAGTTTACTTGCACAACAGATAACCAATCATAAATGTAATCCAATAGGAAATCAGTAGTTTTTTAGCCTTCATACTCATCACAGTGGCCATTATTTTACTTTACACTCAAGGAAAGTTCATTTGTCATACTTTTGACATGTAGATTGCCTCCTGTCTAGGAACTTTCAAATTCAAGAAAGTTTGAGAACTATATAACTATTAGGTTAAATGGGCAGCTTTTGTGACTGTAAGTTTGCCAATGGAGGTTAGAAAATCTATTTGAGATTGGATACAAAATTTTAAAAGTTCTAGAAAGTGCACGTCCAAATTCCACTAGGATCCTCTGCAAGTTTTAAGACAAAAACATGTCTCTCTTAGTTGAATGTGATGCTATAATTCTTCATTAAATCAGATGATTACCTTAAAAGGGGAACAAATCTAATCTCATGATAATAATATGCAACTTTTCAATGATAAAATAATCAAAGGATAGTCCAAACCATAAGAAAAAGATGGAAGACTCTGGAGTTATTTATCCCTTTAGCTTTTGACAATGCTTGTGGACTTATGACCTAGTATATAATTAATTCAAACACTAATATATATAGATTTCCTTGCACCTAAAGCAACACAGAAACAAATTGACAACATGGAAATCTCAGACATATCAAGAAAATCCAGGCAGAGCACAAAAGTTATAAAACAGATAAAAAATAAAAAAAAGTCACAGTAACAAATCTCAAGGTCCAAATTCAATGATATCAATTGATAGAGAGAAAGCCAAAGGAAACATCAAAGTTACTTCAAGTAACTGATATGCTCCTAGTTTTTAGTACTTTTGCTTATCATTTCAACAAAAACTAGACTCGGAAGCAGTAGCTAAAATTGAATCAACACGCAGGCAGCAGAAGGGTCAAAAAACATAAAATCAATCACAAGGATCTTCTTTCAATACGAAGAATGTTGGCTTGCAAATCCAAAAACAAAACAGTAGATTTATACTTGGCAATAAAACAGAGGAATAGAGAGAGAGTAAAGAAGAAAACACGAAGCAGTAAATTTATACTTGTTTTTGATCCATTTGCTTACATTCTTAACTATTAATTTATACTTCTTTTTTTTTTTGTAAATTTAAGTTGAGGTTTGACAAAGGTTAGAAATTAAATTGGTTTAGATTAGACCCATGGCAGCACGATTCTGAAAGCTTTGAAATTATGCACATAAGTAAATCAGAAAAGTTTGGCTTAAAACCACCATTAATTCCATATTGAAACAAATAGAGTAAGAGCAATGATTGTGAAATTACATCATTGCTAACAAATTTCGGACAAATCTTTCTATCCCAATGCCAGAAGAAATTAAAAGGAACAGATAATTAAGATCATAGTCTTCAGATAACAATTAATGGAAGGGAAATATTGTGCAGCGGTTCCTTCTTTGTATGTGCTCTTAATCTATCAGCTCTAGATTGACAAACTCCTACAAATTCAGTGACGCTTGATTCTTTGCAAGGCTTAATTTGACATAGATTGTGTATGAAGAACTAGGGAGATCTCGAAGCGAGTTTTGGGCAGAAAACTTCAAAAACAAAAACCAAGAGAGTGAATGACAACAAAACACAGAGAGAAAGAGAGAGAGAATCCGGGTCTTTCTTACCTCAATTCGTGGTTGTCGGATGAATAAAATAAAGGATGGGCAGCGGCAATTGTGGGTGAGCCGGTGAGCTGCCGGAAAGGGGGATAGCAAAGGGGATTAGGGATTTAGGGTAAAGTTGTTCGTTCTGGTCGGGAGTCGGGACAGTTTTTGTCTTCAGGATGATCACGAAGACCCAAACCTGAGAGCTTATGGTTAATGAAATAATGTGAAAAATATAATATATATATACATATATATCCATAATAATAATTTAAATTTTTATTAATTCAATTGTGATTTTTCAATTCGGTTAGTAAATTTAATATATGAAAATATCAAACCATGTTGATAAAAAGATTGAACTTTTAAAATTAAACACTTTAAAAATCATTATAACTTAATAAAAGAATCAAACTCAGTTTAATTCAATTGATTGTTAATGGACCATTCATAGATTTTATCATAATTTAAAAATCTATTGCATGATTTTTTTTATTGAAAAGGTATTTAAGTTACATATTGAGGAAGTGAAATTTTTGTTGGGATATAGAATTGGTAACGGGTCAATGTGATTGATTTGTGGATTGTAACTTTAGTTCTAAGTAAGGAATTGTATGATATTCAATTGGATAATGTATGGTTTTTTTTTTTTTTGCCGTCTAAATATAAATTACTAAGAGATTAAATGAAATTTCTATTTTTTTATAGACTTGTCTAAATATAAATGACAATTATAATTAAAAAATTTTCAAAAATATGATGTAACTATTACATAAAATAAAATAAATCAAAGACAAACCAAATGAAAAAACTAACAAATCTAAATACAATATGGAATTGAAATTATAAATTAACATTTTAATATTTTAAGATAATTAGTTTAACCGGATTAAAGCAATTAAATAACGTTAATATTAAAAATATATACGTTTTAATTTTAACAAAAAAAGATGAGATTAAAAATAAAAAATACTAACACCTAATGTAAAATGGGTAATAATATAAATTACTTACATTGTTTACATATTAATAAGGTTTTTTTTTTATTCTATTTTCTTAGTTAAAAGTGGGATCCATTTTTCAATTTGGGAACTAGAAATCCAACAATTTAGAAAACTGTTTCTTGTTTTATTAGTTTTTTTTTTAAATGAAAACAAAAACATTAAAAAAGATACAAAATGAAAACAATATCAGACATAACACAGCAGCACATTCTTTTGGGTAAATTACTCCTATCCTTAGGCTTTTTTTTTACCATAATTCAATCTGGGTCCATTAGTAATGCTGCTACGACTTATTCCTGGTTCTATCAACACACAGCCACTGTCTTGGATTCAAAAGATCATCACCTGCAACACTAGGAACATGCCAACTACCACTTTCTGACTCCTGCATTTTCATAATCCCATACTCAGTTGAAATAAGTGCAATTTAACATGAAAATAAAGCATAGACTCTTGCATATTCGTAATCTGATATTCGTTGAAATAAGCAGAATTTAATATGAAAATAAGGCATAATAATTAACAATAACCACAGTAAACTCCAGAGTAAGGTGCTATTTTATACAACTTAAATCAAGACTCCTCAGCCCCATTCTCTCATCTCTCTTCTAGTTTTTTTCTTTTTATTGTTTGGTACATACTCTTTCTCACCTGTCTCTCTCTCTTCTATTATCCCAAAAATTATGAAATTTCCAAGCCATCAAAAACAGTGTCGTTTTTTAATCCTAGCCAAGCATAAAACAAAGGGAAAGAAAAGAAAGGGCAAGGCCATTAGATCCACCAGCTACAGTACACTCATGCAGCTCACTTTCTATATATGATAGATTACTTTTTCATAGCTACATATATTGAATTCTGCAAATTAATTAACAATATTTTAACCATTGTAGTTATTACATCTTATATCATGCGATATTCAACCTTTTTTTTATATGAAATAAATGGTTTAACAAGAAGTTTATAAAGAAGTTGTGACATGTATGATGTCTTTTCTTCCTTTGGTAGGAAACCAAACAATGGAAATTAAAAGAAAAAGAACAAAGATAAAATTTAAATAGGAAAGACAAATAATAAAAAAAAAAAGATAAAATACACTAAATCCCTTAACTTTTGGCCATAATTACACGTGGGTCTAGTAATTTTCAAAGTGAATACTCTGTCCTAAATATGTAAACTGTCTGAATGCCTAAATGTAAAATGTTTAAAATACCTTCCTTCTTCCACGATGGGTGCTCCTAGAGAGGATCTGGCGTTCTCTAGCCAGATCCAACCGCAAGGTCGTCGGCTGGCGGGAGATAAGGTAGAGTTTTTTTAAAAAAAAAAAATTATAATTCGGTAATTTTTAAAATTAATGAAGGGTAAAATTATCCTTTAAATATTATCATGTTATCAAATTAACAAAAACATTAATAGTTGGACTTATATGTCTAGCAGAAGATATTCTTTTGGGACGAACTATACATTTTAAAAACTAATGAACCCTCGTGGAATTATAGCTAAAACTTAAAAGTGTTAGTGTATTTTACCTTAAAAAAAAGAAAAGTGAGTAGCAGCAATGTCAAGTAAAGTGGAAAAATTCTACATTTCTTCATTTAACTAAGTATAACCACAAATAGTGAAAGATTTAATGTTCAAGCTCTATGCAGTTGTCAAACAGAACCTGCGCATTTAACCAATCTCTCACCTGAATAACAATAGAATATGGAGGTGGCATGTGAAGCAAAAGACCAAGCCTCGTCGTAGATAACCGAACCTACAAATTATCAACAAAAAGACAAACTTATTAGTTTGTTTTTTTTTTCAAGTTAAATGCTCAGTAATCTATGGGATTGTTCCTTAAAATGTATAATATTCTTACTGTTTAATCTCATAATAGCCAACAGAGATCAGTATGCTATCTGTAGTACTTTTACCACATGTCCACAATAAGTATAGTTGATAGCTCATAATCAGAAAATAACTTTTATTGCCACTATTCTAAGCAAAACAATCATTTTTATGCATGCAAAGCTGGGGCCCTTGTACATTGAAATATCGAACATAGCAATATGATTAAGGCATTGCATCAAGTCAGAAAGAATACCTGATGCTTTTCCTTCCATCTTGGAAAAAAGGATGTCCCTAATAACTGGAACAAGTGGTCCCTCATTTCATCATTTGTGACCAGCAAACACTTGCAACTAACAGCAGCATATAACCAATACCTACAAATAAACATGAAAAGGAATTATTGACAAGATTAACCTCAAAATTACAAAAATACAAATGTCCATGCCCCTAGATAAAGTTTAGTACATCAATGGTCACCTCTTCTTAATGTACAAGTGTCTTAAGTTTTAGGATGATATATATAACAGGGAAACTAAAAAAAATTGTTTCTTAGCAGAATCCATAAAGTAAATTTACTAAACGAGCCAGAAAGAAGAAAGTAAAGGGAAAACCTATTTGATTTCACATTGTGAAACTAATCAAGTGCAGAACAAAACTAAATGTTTAATTTAGGATGTATAGATAGGTGTAGTAGTAAAGGTTCAAAACCAAATAACAATTTATCTTCAAACAAAAAATATAACAAATTATGCAATCTTTGATAAAGGGCTAATAACTAAATTTTCAGATTACTTTTATGATTTTGGTGTGGTGCATTTTATTTATGAAGAAAGAAATTGCATACTACATTTAAGTAAGACACCATTTTATAATTAAGTTGTTACTCTAAATCTACCACCATTGTTATGGCAGGAATATTCAATAACAGCAGGAGAAAACTCCTGCAATTGCCACCCATCACCAAAATTTTAAAAGGAGCACATATCAAGTAGGATGTATAATCAATAATGAGTTGAGGCACAACCTCAATCTTATGAGGTGTAAAGCTTTTCTAATTCACATTTTAATCTATAAAAAATTATAGCAAAGTTTTTAATGTACTAGCAATAGATTATACATCTAATAATAATAAAAAAACATAGATATGAATGCATAAATATGTTATGAACAATAGAAAAGCACTCTAAACCTATTGAACTAATTCATTGTATCAAATCAAGTGGAATTGATATTGCACAAAGTACATGTTTAAATGATAAACAGGTCCAAAATGTGTATGTCAGTAAACAAGCCTACAATTTTACTTTGGCTTCAATTCAATCAGTAGACCTCAGCAAGTCTTTAACTGGTGCTAACTGAAGACCCTCATATTTTCCTTTTGTACAATGGACCTTTTTTTTCCCTTGCCCTTTCCATCTACAAAGAAATAGTTCACCATTCAAGCTGGTAAATGTTACCAAATGTACTGGTCAACTTCAAAATTAACAAATTACTTAGATAAGTTGGCTCAATTCTTGCCAAGTATTCCATGAGGCTTAAGCCTCACCATAAAATGCCAGAAAGGCATAAACCTCCTTGGAAAAGCCTATTCCTCACATTAGGAGGGTTATACATATTTTGGGAATAACCCATACATTTATGTGCCATATAGCTGCCTCTGAGATGCCACCCAAAAGATAACATGGCAGATCAATCAATTAACACAGACCTAGCAGAGTTGTCACATAAATTGATAGTTTAAGGCTTCACTTCCACTCAAGTCTTAGAAAGATAATTTTTTTTGAAAAGCTTTAATATATAGATCCATTGAACATGTGATGAAGTACAAAGGGACAGTAAATACCTTCAACTAACCTGGGTTCTACTATAAGTCCATGGCAAGTCTTAGAAAGATAATTAAAAGTCAGCACAACTGCATCACATCATTTGAAATCCTAATTTGTAAGCGTAATTAGCCAAACTAAGTCCAATTAAAGCCCTCAATAAGCAAAACCCAACTTTAGAACACCAATAGCATCAGGTGGTGCAACTTCAGCATGGAATTGAGAAAACAGGAAGTTGCTTAAACTACGTGTAATAATACACATACATATTTTCTCAGATGGAACCATTTTGAGAAGGGTGTGTGCGTGTGTGTTTGATCACAAACATGAATATCTCTCAGACTGCAATTGGAAGCAAAGCAGGGCCACAATTATTAGCAATTTCATTAGGCTAAGGGTCATGACTTTGGATGATAAGGGATGAAGAAGGAAGGAGATAGAAAAAGAAACAGAAATGGACAGCTGCAAATACAGGGCAATGGTAAGAGAGGGACAATCTAATTGCAGGCTGAAGGAATTGAACATTCAAACACTTTGATAATGTACATTCTTCTCAAGGTCAATTTTTTTAAATGACAATTCATGCACATGCATTGATAAAAAAAAAAAAAAAGAGCATTCAAGGAAAAGAAGGAAAAAATAAAGGATGACCTTTTGAAGGAAGATATGTTAGAAAAAGCCACAAACATACACATTTTTATGAGAATATTCAACTCAATACTTTCATAATTTTGAAATGAGAGCTTACCAGTCATCATTTGAACCAGCAGGTGTAGCATAAAGTGCCCCAGCCCTTTTCCAACTGTCTAACCAATTCCTGTTATTGGGATTCCTAGCAGGACCATTAGTTACCCGACCTTGATGCAAAATAACTAGTGGGGACCTTTTTGATGGACTCATTCGCCGTAATTGATTTACAACATTATTAAGCTACAACCATAAAGAATGGTTAAAGACTGCATACAGATGTCTTGGATCAGAATCATCTGTCCTGAATCTTTCTCTCAACCTCTATCATTCCAGTAAAATAATGCCACGCACCAATCTGTATGCTTGTCTTTAATCAGATTCATAACTGCGTTAGCCTCGATTTAAAAATCATCACATTCATTGCTTAAAACAACATAATCAATGATGAAGGTAAATTGATATTACAATTTCTTCTCATCTACAGCAACATAACCGGTCACTTTTACTGGTAAATAATTTGGGGAATACAAAAAAAAATCAGGTATCAAGATCTTGTTTTAATAAATGGTAAATCTATCAAAAAAGAAGTTGTTGTAAAACCGATAAACTTTTAGTACAAGCGTAAAGCCAGATTTTACTTTAATGATTATCTTTCTATAAGGAAACCATTCATGTGTAGGACCATAAAAATAATACTAATAAAAATTCATGGTTCATGGTAGCATTAAAAACTTGTGACATGGTTTTTTTTTTACTGTAGAGGATCAAGATCATCTAGCAGGATATATAAGAGTCTCTCAAAGTTAATATTGGTCTTTGTTATAAAGTCAGAATTTTCAGGGAGAAAAAGAAAACAATTTGGACATGCCTTGATTATTTATTATTTCATTTAGTTTAGAATAATTGATGAGATTTATTGTTGACTCCGGTTAACTAAGATGCAAATACGCTTCAATAGAGAAATGGGGATGGTTGCATGGCAATATTTTGTTACCGGGACAGAGGCTCAACCAAATATTTGGGACAGATGATCTCAATCCATATATGTCTTGCTTTCACAAACATCACATTAAGCTTCTTCTCATAACCCCTTACCTGGTTAAAATTGAAACTATCTGCATTGATGAGACCCACATTTGCACCATCTACAACTGCATCAAATGGTCCATGCTGCTGCAACCACTCCTGGATAAGGTCACCTTCTAAATCAGTCAAGATTTAACTGAGATCCGCTTTATGTAAATATGAATCACTAGCCTAAAGCAAACAGAAGCTATACTATGCCTTGGTATATTTAGTGAAAAACGTTGTCAAAGATAAAATAAAAAGAATTTCACTAACAACTGAGCAAGTCACTCCAAATTGTGAAAGCAGAAAAATAATCAAAGGATACAAAACCATTACCATACAAGCCTATCTTACAGCAAAATCATTTACATGAAAGTACAGTATTCTCACTCACAACATATTAATTTAAAACAATATAAAAAATTAAGTGGTGCTAGGAAACTAGAGGAAATTATTAACAAGCCATGCTCTATGTAACCAGCTGAGATCACAAAGACAAAGTGATCAACTCTACAAGTTATTTGATTCAATCACAACACCATAAAAACTGCCAAACCAAAATCCAGAACAATTACAGTTTTCGCTACAGAACAAAAAACAATGCACTATCATATTAATGCAAATGTCTGACATCTAAAGCATTAAATCAGATGCCACACCAAACGGCTATGTAGCATGGGAGAAGGCTAGGAAAGAGAAATAAGAGGATATGAGACAAACAGGAAAACAGAGAAACAAACAAAGAAAATGGTATGAAAGAGAGAAATAGATTGGGAATTGGAGGAGAACAAGGGAAGAAGAGGGAGAGAACAAAAAGGAAAATACCAATACTGAAGTCTCTTAACTCAATTAACATAGGTATCTATAGCCTGCCTCTTACCCGTAGTACTTGTTAACGAAACAATCTAACTAGTATAATATAACCTAAAATGTCTTAAATATATAGAAATTACAATTAAATCCATTAAATATGCAAAAATCAATAAAACACATCCAGAGGTTAATATAATCATTAAATTAGCATGAACTTCTTCTGCTGTCCAACAACGTTTAAGAGAAACAAATATTCACATGATTTCCAATAGCTTTTCAGTGCCACAACTTACAAGTTTAGACAGCGTTTCAAGATAACACAACAATGAATTTACAGTATTTGAAGACTCTGGAATAACTAGCAATGGAAATTCCCAACCTCTTAAGGCAAGAGTTGTTATATCAGAAACTAAGGGACAATAAGGTTTAAAGAATTACCTGGAACTGAATGAAATGAGCTTTAACCTCTCTATTGCATGCCAATTCAGTTAATTTTGTAGCAAAATTTTCTGTCTCTTTTGGATCAATATCAATACTAACAAGCTTCTCCCCACAACAACAACACACACCATTCTTGGTCATCTTAGTCCTCATTACCCTCCATCTCCCACTTCCCAACCACCCTTGCCCATGCCACCCTCCGCCTCCATCTACAACTCCTTTCTTTATTTTATTCACATCCCAACTCTCAACACCTACTTTTGCAGCATCCTCCGATTTAAACCAATCCTCAATAATTTGAAACGTCGATTCTGAGACCTGCCTCACTGTGGCTCGCAACCTTTGCAACATGTCATACACTTTGTCTGCGTTCTTTGTATCAGCACTAACTTTCAAAAGAGCAGAAAGCTCAGGCTCTTCAGGCACCACCCCAGATTCAGCCATGTGAGCATCTAGTTCATATCCTTTCTCTGCATTCCCCTTCTCACAGAATCCAAACAAAGCCGGCCCATATGACCTGAGTTTCGGTGGAATTCCTAGACTCTTCATCTGCTTCACCAATTCAAAAGCCAAATCTGGGTCTTCCCTTGCTACTGCCAACCTCGCCATGCTTGTAAAAGTAGCCTCATTAGGAGAAACTTTATCTCCAACCATTTTCTGGAAAATCTCAAAACCCCTCTTCAGCCCTAACTCCTTCAACTCAACCCCATCTCCACTCGCTTCACGAGCACACAAGTAAAGCAGCACATTGTAATGGTGCTGCTTTAGAGTAACTCCGTTACTCCTGCCTTCCTCATACAAACGAAGCGCTTCCACAAGGTTACCATGCTTAGAGCACATATCAAGCTTATATTTAAGCACACTTTCAGGTGACTCTCTATGTGCTTTCTTCCTTGCTTTATTGGACATTGCATTGGTACTATTAGATGTATTAACGGTTGATTTAGCAGCAGTAGCAACCGTGGATAAATTTCTTGTTTTATCCACAGCAAAGTAATTTACATGAAAATTCAAAATACTAACAGGTTTGAGAAATAAATGATAATGGCAAGTACCAAAGGGACGCAAACTGCGAGGGAAACAATTCCAGTAGAGAAAAGAAAATGGGATTTTCTTGAACATTGACAGTGAAGGGACATAAGGGTTTACTCCTAGCATCACTCTTTCCTTTGTTACTAATCAATACCAGTAGTTGCTTCTTTTTTTCCTTTTCTTTTTCTTGTTAATACTTTGAAAAGGAGAAATTTGTAGAAGAGAATGGAAGAGGAGAACCTGTTATGGCCGCAAACAGCATTGTGTTTTGATGGTTGCGATTGAATTGTGTTCGATAAATGAGAAGATCCAAACACTAGCTTTAGCTTTGATTCCTCCTCCTAAAACTGCAATGCCACCAATCAAATAACATTTATCAGAAATCATAGCAATACCTTTGTTCCCAATAACAGACAGACAAACAAGAATGAAGACTACAAATTGTTTTTCAATCAACAGAGATACATTGGTGACTTAATTAGAAAATCCCAAAACAGAGAGCCCAAATCCATGAATTATGAAAGAAAGCTGTAACATCCCATCCCTTGGGATATTAATTAAACTACAACATTATTTGAAATTTAAGATGAATTGTGGCTATTATTGAAGAGAAATGTCAAGTGGAAATGGAGAAGTTGACATAAGATTAAAATAATACTTTTATAATAAAATAATGGTATAATAATAAAATAATAATATTTTATTAATGGTGACTAAATAAAATATTAAAATATTATTGACTGGTTTAGTAGAAGTAAGTTCGGCGAAAGTGGGGGAGTGAAGAACTTATGGATTGAAGAATTTTGTGAAAGTAATTAAAGGTATATTTAAATGTATTTATGCTTGAATTTGAAATTCAAAGAATTCAATAAAGAAAGTATACATGCAAGTGATTTTAAGGTACAAAGAGAAAACGCATATTGGAAGTGGTGTCAAATATTTAAATTGTAGAAAATAATATGATAAAGGCTTATAAAACAATGGATGGTGTTTAAAGAGGAAAGAAAAGTGGCCATCATGCAAGTGTGCCATCCACCACCTAAAGGAATATAAATATACAAAAGAAAATTTATGTGGATCAAGGCATGTGAAATATGGAAGCTGCCAAAGTATAAGGAAACAAATTGAAAGAGAAAAAAAAAAGGGGGCTTTGTAGAATCCGCCCATTAATAATCAGAGTGATCTGCCCACTTTTCATCCAAAACCCAAGCACCCTTGCCATGTTTTAAGGTATTCTAAGCTTCCAAACAAATCAAGAGAGTTAGAGAACTTTTGCAAGGGGTCAAACTTAAAACAGAAGGGAGAAAAGTATACAAAAAGGTGCTCGGGAACTTGGGAAGTTCCGCCCACTCATTGCAAATTGGAGGCATTCGGCTACCACCATTCAAGCTACCTGAAACCAAATATAAAACCCTCCCCAAGAATCTTTACTTCCTTCATCATTCAAGTAAGAGTTCAAAAGCCATTGACACCCAAATAAATTTGTTAATTCCCCCCAAAACACAAGCTACCTGAGGGCCTCCAAAAGTGCAGTTCAAAGATTGATTTAAAAGTACCCCACAGGTGGTGAGGAAAACAAGTAAGAGAGCTTTGATTTCCAAGACAGCCGAGGATAATAATTTATTTTGAGAGAATTTGGGCTGTTCACAATGAAGGCTTAGTGGTGGAAATCAAAGCCAGGGTAAGGAAATTCTCATTTTGACATTATATTTTATAGTGCCAAGGATTAATGATATTTGAATTTCATATGGCAGATTTGTTATCTTGGATTAATGAAGAGTTGAAAGTTATATTTTTGAATGAGTCAACCATCAAGTAAGGTAAGATGATTGTGGATATTTCTTAGTTATCTTTGCAAGTTAGCCACAGGTTGAGTAGAAAAACTTTAATAGCTTGAATTTACATATGTGATGTGCGAATATTGTTGCAAGGTTTGAAGGAGTGAAAAGAAATTCTGTGAAAGCTGTCCAACCCAAGGCCTAACACAAGCCCTCAATGAGTTGGTAAATTGGTTATAGTGAAGGTGAAATTAGTAAGATAAAAGGTGAGTTTCAATTATTAAATACTTCCTGGCTGAATGTACCCAATAATACAGCATTGGAAAGATTCTAAAGAGTGTACGATGTTGATGATTAGGAGCTGTTGAACTAGTAACTAGTAACTTAGTACAAAGGGTAGATTAGTGAAGCTCAGAAGGTGAGAAAATGAATGTAATTTGAAATTTAATTGCTACAGTCGTTGCTGGCTGAATGTGCAGATAGGTTTAGCATCAAACATTATGCTAAGAAATGCTATTGCGTGTGTTGCGAGTGATTGTTTGAGCTACTGCCTCAGCTGTCAACAAAGTTAGTAAGCTACAGGTCATTGACACTTTGACCCAAGGCATTGAACTTTTAAGGGCTCGGGTGGTGGTGGTCTGAACGCTGCTAGAGTCCTCGACCGAATCAAGCTTAAACTAAGGAAGTGGCTTAGTAATTGGTGAGAATTCCTACCAAAAGACGTGGGTGGGCAATTCTTTTTTTAAAGCATTATTGAATGGTGAATAAGATATATTAAATATGCTAGATATGCCCACTGTTTAGATATTATTCAATTACATTGAGTTCCGATGTTTATATTTGGATTGCAATTGAGTTGAATGAGCTGTTAGTGACTTGGAACGATTATTAAGATCATTTTATACGTGTTGTTTTTGTGGGCATATCAAAATTATTAAGCTGTTTACAAAATGGGAACCAAGCCCTTGAACTATGATGAGATTTTTTACTATGTTTTGAAGCATTCAAAATTGTATGTATTACACTCCCGTATAAAGGCCATAGAGTTATCGTTAATGAGTTTTCTAATTTGCCTTGGTGGCAATTTTCATGATGCTTGAGTGAAATATTTTAACTATGCCATGCTCATTGATTTTCATATGTGAACTTGCTATTTTATTGGTCATTGATTTTATGATGAACTTGGTTATATATTGATCACGGTTTTCATTATTTAAACATACATACATGCCATTGAAATTGATTCTACTTATTTGAAATTCCATTGGTTTTTTTTCTTGTGTAAACCTTACGGGTATAGGTCTTGTTACCACACCAGATTTGTGTGATCTTTGTGCACAAAGCAGTGATTATTGATGATTGATAATTGATAATAAAGGGGGATCTGAAGCCACGACTCATATTTGGTGGTGTGGGAAGTTCCCACAAGTAGGTGTTGATGTTATTGATATGAAAGAGAGAGCCTACGGGCTATATTAGACCTACCTAAGGATACCTTAATCAACACGTTTTTATTAATAGAGCATGGCATTACTATTATATTTGTTTGAGAAAACCATGGCTTTGATTTATAAGTTTACATGACATTCGGGAAAGTTATATTGTTTGAGATTGCCATGGTTGTTTGATTTTATCAAGCATGAGGTTTTTACGCTGCAAAAGTGATTAAAAATTTTGGGATTTAAAATCCAACATCTTATATTGATTTGCACATGATTTATTAACTCTATGCATAGTTTATCTCATCGTACGTATTTATTATTATTATGTTTTCATCAAAAGCTCTACTTTAATGATTGTTTCCCTTCCTGTCCACTCACTGAATATGAAAGGCTCACCCCAACTAGCTGACAATGGCAAATAAGTGAATTAATTGGGCGCAACAGAAGTGTGGTGAGGAGACTTCAGGTTGCTGCATAGGTAATTGGTGTCCTATAACACTTTTGTTGTGTCACTCCACTGTCTAGATATCAAGTTGTCTACCGTTTTTAAATAAAGTGATGTATTCATAAAACTATTTTGGGCCGAAGGCCTTGGATACTGTTTGATTAACTTTAAGTGGTGTAATGTTTGAAGGTTTACATTTTAAACATGTACATATATTTTAAATCTCTTGTTAAGAATTTTTATGAGTGTTGAAGAATTAAATTTGCAATTCTGGTTATATAGCATTGTTAGTATATGATAATGGAGAGAATTTATTTGGTGAGGTTAATATATTTAGAAGGCTTGTCAGGCTGCGTAGACTTGCCAGGTTGTATAGGCTTGTGCGCCAGTAACGGCCATAAGAGTGGGTTTATACAAAAGCAGTAGAGAAGAGTAGGGGTGTGCAAACAATCGATTCTATGCTAAAATTCCAAAAACCAAAAAAACCAAAAAGAAAGCAGTAAGGATAGGTACCAGATACTTTAAAGCAGTATAAAACTGCCTTTCAGCCAATGCCCGTACGCAAACTTTACTGCATAAAAGTAAAGAACAGAATTAGCTGAAGTTTTATTGACTTCTTCACAAGAAAAATAAATAAATAACAGCCAGAGTCTCTTCAGTGAAAAAAAAACACAATCATCCACTTAAGACAAATGTAATTCTATTTTATCAAAAAAGAAGTTGGACAAAAAGACACAAATTACATAAGAAGCACTGCCTGTCCTATCTAAGAAATTACCATGCAGAAAAGAGATGAAATAAGTATACAACAAGCATTCAAATTATCATCTTTTCCTTATCTCATGTTTTCTCACCTATCTTGTTTTGTTTCTTTCTTCTCTCTCACCTACTTTCTTTCAAATATCAGTCATTGTCAGTCCCTAAGGAGCAGAATATTCCAAATTACAACCAGAGTTCCACAGAACAAACTCAGACTTTTCAATCCACGTTACTAAGTACAATAAAACTACCATAAGTCATGGGCACCCAGTTGTGGAATTCACTCTTAGTTACATCTTGAAGACAATCAGTCCATCTCTGCCTTCTAAGAAGCAAAAATTCTTTTCACAAATAAAGAACAAGTTCATAATCTCAGCAGATAAATAGTAAATCTAGTAACTTGTGTAAACCTATTACTTCTTTTCTAACATATGAATTCGGTCAATTTGCATTGTCACTGTCCACCTTTAAAAAGCTAGAGGATTATCACAGCAATTTGCATAAGTGACTTCTGGAACAAATTCAACAGCTTTAGTGGCACACTACATACCAAAGTTGATAAAATTCTAGAACTTTTGTCATAAATCTACAATGAAGAGTGGCACATACATGTATATGAACTTTTGATATCTTGACGATGATTACATGTCCAGGCAGAAAAAACCCCGGCTTATGGTTGTGAATTAGCCCATCCTTATTATACATGTAGCACAGTTCCTTCCAATTCTCACCTAGTTTACCAAACTACCTAGGAGGTTAAATAAAACCAAAGGGTGAAAAGTAAGTGCATTAACGAGAATAACAGAGTAAAGATATAGAAAGTTTAACTTTCAATATCCAACATTTCAACAAAAACTAGACTTGGAAGCCGTAGCTAAAATTGAATCAACATGCAGGCAGCAGAAGGGTCAAAATCAATCACAAGGATTTTCTTTCAATACAATGAATGTCAGCTTGCAAATCCAAAAACAAAACAGTAGATTATACTTGCATAAAACAGAGGAACAAAAGAGAGTAAAGAAGAAAACATGAAGCAGTAGATTTATACTTTTTTTATCCATTTGCTTATGCTCTTAACTATTAATTTATACTCTTTTTTATGTAAATTCAAGTCAAGGATTGGCAAAGGTTAGAAATAAAATTGGTTTAGATTAGATCCATGGCAGCATGATTTTGAAAGCTTTGAAATTATGCACATAAGTAAATCATTGCTAACAAACACAGTAAAACCACCATTAATTCCATATTGAAACGAATACAGTAAGAGCAATGATTTTGAAATTACATCGTTGCTAACAAATTTCAGGAAAATGTTTCCATCCCAATACCAGAAGAAATTAAAATTAACTGATAATTAAGATCATAGTCTTCAGATAACAATTAATGAAAGGGAAATATTGTGCAGCGGCTCCTTTTTTGCATGTGCTCTTAATCTATCAGCTCTAGATTGACGAACTCCGACAAATTCAGTGACGCTTGATTCTTTGCAAGGCTTAATTTGACATTATAATTGGTTGAAGAACTATGATTCGAACATTTGTGAGAGAGAAACTCAAAAAACCAAAACCAAAGAGAGAGTGAATGACAACAAAACACACACACAGAGAGAGAGAGAGAGAATCTGGGTCTTTCTTACCTCAACTCGTGGCTGTCGGATGAAGAAAATGAAGGATGGGCGGCTGGCCGGGGAGCGGCGATTGTGGGTGAGCCAGCGAGCTGCCGCAAAGGGGCTTAGGGATTTAGGGTAAAGTTGTTCGTTCTGGTCGGGAGTCGGGACAGTTTGTGTCTCCAGGATGATCACATTAGACCCAAACCTGAGAGCTTAAGGTTAATGAAACTAGACTGTGAGCGCCAAAAAAAAAATCGAATGAAGTTTGGATAAGAAAAATTTTATGGAAATAGTTTTTTATTATTTTGATTAAAGAATTGAGGACTATATGATAATTGTTTATAAGCATACCCAATTTGTTTTCCAATGCATAAAAAACAGTTATTGAGATCAGCAGGTAAATCAAGGGTTGAAATATTATGGGTTGCTGTGGTGTTTCTGCAAATTGTGGTGTACATATAAAAGTTATCATTGGAATTGTTTGTGTGAACAAAAAAGGAAAGTAGTGTTCATAATCTAATCCATTTGTCTTCCTGCAAGTGAACAAAAATGACTTCCCTTGATGGAAATTAAGGCCATGGTACTATACCTTGCTTCTGTACATATGTGGACATACAAAATAACAAAAATTAACCCTTTTATGTATGATAATAGCAGTAATTATCATGGTAGATAATTAAGAATATATCAGTCTTAAATTATACTTTATTTAAAGCAGGATAAAAGTATGAGAAAATCGAATTGAAAGACGAAACAATGAAAGTTTTTAGAGATTATGACTATTTCAATTGATTGGAAGTTGATTGTTTAAAGTGTAGTGTTTTAGGAATTTTAAATGTTGGTTTCATATATATATATATATTATGTAAATAATATATATATTATGTAAATAATTTTATTAAGTGATGTGAAATTAAATCAGATGTCAATGGTTCAATATTGGTTAAAAGAAAGAAAGAAACAATAAGGGGGGAAGAAAAGAATATGTATTATAACTAAAAATCATATATAATAGACCATGAACAATCATGTCACAACTAGCATGTGAATTTTCAAGTCCTGAACATTATCTAATTAAGGCGCATGTTAGATACACAATCAACTAGCACAATTAAGGATAAAAGAAGATCAAAGAGCAAGAATCAAAGTAGGGAGGTATACAAATAAGTAAAGAATAGTAAAATTGACTAGAAAAATAGCATGATGGAAACTATCATGAAGAAAATCTAAAACAAGGGTAATGGAAATAAAGTTACATTAAAATGTGATTTGCTATGTACATTAAAGTAAATCATAAAAGACATAATAGGTTTCATGCCACAATGATAGTTTAAATATCAGTCATTTCAAGAATGTGCAAAAGCAAATATTTGTTATACAATATGAATAATGAATTTATAAGTTGGTTGGTTTGCTTACTTTAGTAGTAAGGGTCCTTTCTCCTCATGTTTCATGCATCAGTACTTTTCAGCACAGAATCATACTGCAATTCCACATTCATTGCGAGAATTATAGAACCATCTATTGGTACAATCAATATCAACAATTGTCACTCTTATTTTGAAACAACTTTCCTTATATGTGTTCGAGTTATTAATGTACTTTGATGTGACAGTAATGTGTATAATTGTGTAAAGTATGGTTTGTTTACTTGCATTTTGGTTGGATCTGCAATATTGATCTTCGTTATGGTTGTGTCTTTGATTTCATTTGATTTTCTTAGTAGTTGGTGGGAATGTAGCTACATGTTTATAATTTGGACGCTGAATGGATCTTTTTTGTATTTGTAGATTTATTTTCCATTATGAATTATAAAAAATTAGATAAATCAACATTTGAGTAACTTGAAAAATCTTACATGTTTTTTGTGAAGCAAAGCTTGTGGTGTGTCAACATCTATATATATTTTTGTAGTTGAGCAGAAGAAAAGGTAAACCATGCCATTATGGATTTGACTATTGAGTTGATCAATGAAGGTAAAATTAAAGAACCATGTTGGGTAGGGATCCAAATCTTCCTTGATTGGGTAGATGGCAGTATTCCTTGTAAACATGCCCATGATATTTAGGGGAATATAGTTGAAAGAGCTTTTCTTGTTATTTATCTGAAACTTTCTGATTTGATAAAGAGATCCTTCTCTTAATTGATGTTGAAATTGTGGTGGATCTGAGCAACGAATCATGAAATACATTTCATTTTTCTATTTTTTGGTAATATTAACATTCAAAAGGCATATAATGAGTAAATAATAGAAAATCTATTGAAATGAAATGTAAGAGATATCAAATGAACAGTTTTAATATATATTTGTTGCATAGGATAACTTGAATAACATTGATGGTTTTATTACTTGTAAGACAAAGAAATATAAATGGCCTATTTTGACCATACCATTGATTTCTGTGATATCTAAAATGTATATACCATAGCATCACTAGCAAGAAAGTCAAGGGTCAGTAACATGTTTGGTTGAAATGGGCCAATGGACTCCCATATATGGACTATCCTGACCTTAACTGATGATTCTTGCTAAAAAGGGCACAAATGTTGAAGAAATTGGTCTGCCATTGTTATGCTAGATTCAAAATAAATGAATCATGAGTTGTGATTATTATAAAAATTGCAAGACTTCAAGAGTATTTGGTATGAGAAGCTAGCATCTGATAATTGCTCAACAAAAGAGTATAGGGACCATACTATGCTTGTTTATAATCTTTTGAAGCAAAATGTTAATAAATTTAAGAATCCATATTAATGTAAAGTTACACATAAATTTCTAGATAAATCTGAAAGTAAATTATTAAATATTTCTCAAAAGACAATTTTTTTTTGTTTTAGTGATAGATAAGCCATTGTCATCAGTCATTAAAATATGCAAGCCTTTTTGAGATGTTACTCTCAAAAGAACTACATATAATTGGTCATGCATGAAAACAAGCTTAGTTAGGTATATGCTAATTTTGTCTGGTGCTTGTCCTTGGCTTTTATTGATTATCATTCTATAAGATAACTTAACTAGAAATTGTTTTTTATTAAAGACAAAAGGCCATTTGTTATGTTTTGCTGTTAGAAGTATCCTTATTATGAAATGTTTTGTGTTGTTCCACTTGAAAAAATAACTTGTCTTTCAATAACATTAGGGGCTAGTTGTATGATTATGAGCCTTGTTTCGTTATATAGTTCGGAATTTTAGTTGATATTCCTACGTAACATAACAACAACTTCAATTTTCAAATATAGAGCATGATCTAATATACCGGGAAACTTTAAAGAGTTTAGAAACTAAGTTGGGTATAATAAATAATGATCTAATCCTTGATCAGATCATTAGGTTATTGAGTCATTGCTAAAGTATGTTTTTGTAGTTCTTCGAATAAAATCTAATGCGCATATGTTTATTCCATCAACTGTCTCGTTATAAGATGTTACTATAACCATTGGTCTAAGGTAATTAGAATTTGCATAATTTTTTTTTCAAAATCATTTTAAACAGCACAAATAATGTTGTTAATAGGGTCATTCATGATAAGTACTAATAAATCATTTGGTAATATTATGTAGTCAGATTCATTACGGTGCTTTATTGTTAATGAGTGAAGGTTTCCATCACTTACAACTAATAACTAATATGCAAAAGGTTCAATTCTTTTTTTGCTTTTTCAATTAAGTCAGACCTTAAAAATCTCATATTAGTTTTCAATCTAAAAACTTTACACTTTGACCACAATGTTGACTGATTTATGGCTGTATTGATAATATCTATTTTGTTACCAAATTCTATAAGTAAAATTTGCCTAAAGTCTTCTCCTAACAAAATAGTTTTTCCTCCAAAGTGTTTGTCAATTGCTTCATTGTCATCTCAATTGAGAATGTCTTTTAAAGTCTTGTCTAAAGCTTTAAAGCAACATATATTGACCATACATGCTTCATCCCATACTATCAAACTATAAGCTTCAATTAGTCGAGTTAGCTATGTTTCTTTTTTTTAATTTGACAAGTTGAGTATTCATTAATATCAAGAGGAACCTTAAATCTAGAATGGGCAATTCGACTTTCAAGTAATAATAGAGAAGTTATACTAGAAGAGGTTATAGTTAATACTATTTTTCTAACTAATCTTATTCTTGATATGATTGCAAGCCATTTGTAAATTTTGCTTGTACCTCCGTCTCTATATACAAATATCAATTGTCCTTCATTATTGTCAATTGATTGTTTAACAAACTAGTAAATTTGTTTTTGTTTAACATTTAAGTTTGATAGTGATTCTAAATATAATTGTTACAAATGAATAAGTTGTGATTCATTTCTTCATGAATCTGTCTACCTTGATCGTAAATGACAGTTTCTTGATTTGGCATGGGTAATTGAAACTCAGATAAATAACTCCAATTTTTATTAAAGAGATCTTCAAAAGTAATTAAGACATAATTTTTATAATTATTTTCAAGTAATATTATATTGTGAGTTTCCAAAGGCATGTTTCATTCAAAATAATTTTCAGCTAGTTTCTCAAAGGGCAATAGGATTAGCTGTTTGGCAAAACAAAATAATGGTTACAAACAAATATCTTAATTGTTCATTGAAAGCCCATTGAGATGCTTGAAGTAATGTATCATTCCATTCTTAATTATATAGTTGCAAAACAGTATAGGTTTTTTGATAAGTTTGATACGTCATACTATTTATGATGCTAATATGTTCAAAGCTAATTGCACCTCTAACTACATTTAGTTGATTCTACTTATAGACCTACCTTGTTTTCTCTTCTTCCACTTAGACTCTTGTTGGTGCCAAACATACTCTGTGGGAATATCAACATAGTAAATGTCTACCAATTTGATTAAGTTAGTTGCAAGTTATACATTCAGTGAATATAGTTTTATTAATATCCAGCCTATGTATAACTCCTAATATACTATTGTTATCATGAAAATAAATGTTCTATTCTTCAAATAAATGGATTACTAACCTTTGTATATCTAGTTTTCTATAGTGTATTGAAAAAGAAAAAAGTCTTCAACCTGCTTCAGATATTGATACATATCTACAATTCAAATACATTTTGATTTCATCTATCTCAATAACCCTTTGTTGTTGATTCCTAAAATTACTTAAGTTAATGGTTTAGAAGTTTTGTTGAGCATTTGAATTTGTATTTTCTAAAATGACTCAGGCTTTATCAGGTTCTTTGTTGACATACTTGAATAGGTACTTTATAACTCTAGATTAGTCACAAATTTCAACATTGATGTGTGCTTGATATTTTACAAACAAGTCTATGTTACAAGGCACCACATATCTATTATCTAATTGAATATTATTCTTCATTATAATATTATGTGGCATGTCTCTCCTTCTATAAATTGAAAATCCGTCTTTATTAATTATAGTTCTTGTTTGGAAGTTTTCGAATAGTATTTAAAACAATAACATTTAAACATATAGGGAGAGTTTGGACGTGCAGCACCACATGATCCATGGACCATGAATTCTGCATTA